GGTAGTTGCTACCAAGAGCAGATAACCCTGAGTAACAGCACCCTTGAAATCAAAGTGTAAGAGGAAGTAGAGCAAGTTAATCATGTAGACAAGGAAAACTCATCAAACTGCAATTGGCAGTTTAATAGGCAGTATGACCTCCGTTGACATCAATAACTGCCCTGCAACGTCTGCACATGCTCCTTATTAGTCGTCGGTGGCTGATCTGTGGGATGCGCTGCCATTCCTCTTGCAGAGCAATCATAAGCTGTTGGCGGTTCTGTGGCGGATTAGGTCGAGCTGAAACCCGGCGTTGCAAGGTGTCCCAAGCATGCTCGATAGGGTTCAGATCAGGAGAACGACTTGGCCAGTCCATGCGAACGATTGCTTCACGTTGAAGATAGTCGTTGACCACACGAGCACGGTGAGGACGAGCATTATCATCCATCAGAATAAAATCATGGTCAACAACTCCTGCAATGGGCCTTACTATAGGGTGTAGAATCTCGTCCCTGTATCGAACAGCTGTTAAAGATCCATTGTCTATGATGTAGAGGTCTGTATGGAAGTCAACACTGATCCCTGCCCAAACCATCACTGACCCACCACCAAAGCGATCATGCTGGACAACACAGCAGTCTGCATAGCGCTCTCCTTGGGTTCTCCATACCCTCCTCCTACCGTCATGGAAGTCAACACAAAACCTAGACTCATCTGTGAACATAACATTTCTCCAATGACGTAATTGCCAATTCAAATGATGAGTGGCCCATTGATGTCTGGATTGTCGATGACCTCTGGATAAAATTGGTCGGACTGCTGGTCTTCTACCTCGTAAATTAGAGGCATGGAGTCTGTTTCTGATTGTCTGGGATGAAATCCTTAGATTTGTAGCACGCTGAAACTGAAGATTCAAGACAGGAGCACTCAAAAACCGCTGACGTCGTGCCGTGATGCAAATGAATCTGTCCTGTCGGGCTGTCGTACAGCGTGATCGTCCAGATCTGGGGCGTTGACGGACGTTATTTGTCTGTTGATAGCGATTCCATAGCCTACTAATCACGCTCTGAGAAACATGAAGCTGTGCCGCCACATTTCGTTGAGTTTGACCAGCTTGAAGGAGCCCTATAGCTCGCGCGGCTTCCATATCATTTAAATGTCTTCGCATGATTAGTTTTTCAAGTTTTCGTTACAAATTGATTAAATGTTTCCAAATTCAACTTTTTTTAGCTTAGAAGTAACAGAATCAAAACCTGCAAGATTCCTCTGTAGTAATAGACCAGTCAGTTTTTCACACCACCATAGTTAACTAGAGCGGAACGGCAAGACCTTCAGATGCACGTGCTTTCACCTTTGACATGACTTTAGGTACATATTGGAGAAACTACGAGTGCAATTACCGGCAATACATGATTTGAATTTTTAAAGATATTATGGTCACAATTTATGATCCTTAACTTATTTTGTCCAGTTTATATTAATATAAACCACTGAAATGGTGTATAATTATTAACAGAAGATCTAGATACTCGACCTGATAGGATAAAATGGATCCTACAGGAAGTGGTCCAAATATTTCTGTTGTTACTGTTGGTGCATTGTTGAACATTAGATGCTGCAGTGGTGTTCCATGTAATGCTGATAGCTTCAGCTTGTCTCTTGAAGTGTCTTCTGGTAATCTGTGATAAAAGCATTGAAAACTCGTAACTCTATATATCTATGATCACCTTATAATTTGAGATGATCAGGTGTTAGATTTAATGCTGTAGATGATTTAAATTAAAATTCATAACTGGGTACTTGCATTGATAATGTTGTAGCCTTGTTATGAAAATTTTATCAGGTTGTGTAATGTATTATCAGGCTTTGTGATTTGAGATGTATGATTTATATCATTAGCTATATGATAAGTTATGCAGATCAGAATTGTATATTGAATGTAATGCTAGATGTGTATGCATTAAATGTGTAAAACTGAATTTTTTGTTAAATGAAATAAAGGGTGCTTTTCCTATTAATTTACACATAGTACATGTATTCAGCGACTTCATGTATCAATTACTGGTAACAGTTTGTTCTCCATGTTATTATAATGATTGTAAAATTTGACATTTAAATGAAGAAGATAATAAATAACTATAGTTCTCATTTACTTCGCATATCACTGGTTTTCTTTTCCTTTGTTCTTTTGCTTTTGCGACAACAACTTGGCTCAGAGGTACTGGCTGTATTTTTGCTCCTCTTGGAATATGCCACTGTAGAGGGACACTGGTACAGCTCTGCTCATCAGGAATGCATGAGAAATTATGAAGTTTAAAGCCTTGGAGGCATTTCAAGAGGCCAACTATGTGGGAACAATGACCAGATAAACTGAAAAAAAAATTAATTAATGAATAAATAAAAATAGACACGTTTTATTAATCTAATTTTTAGAAATTACCTAAATGATGTTATATATTTGTTAGATCTATCAAAATTTTGTAATGTTTGTCTAATGTGTTGACTATGAATAGAAGGTCATATTTTTGACCAAGTGTTTAATTATATAATGGCTAATCCAGTAAGTACACAGGTAAACGACTCCCCACTGCCTACTTTCAACCGTGAAAATTATAGCCTTGGGGCATTGAAGGGCCTAGCCGTATATTGTTTCTGGCCAGTGGGACACCCCGGACAGGTAATCCACACCTGCATTGATGACAGATTTACAACCGAACGGTTTCATTACTGACATGTGTGACTGGTCACTACAGGTAAATTCACACGTAACAGGGAAATGTAACACCCATGCCATCACCGATTGTGTAAATATGACGCCATGTTGATTTTGATGTTTACATATGAAAGGCCTCTAAATGTTATGTAATTAAACACCCGGTTCGTGTTTTAAGAACACATTGTAAACAATAAATATTGATTGAAAATAATGTATCCTTACCCCACTTTACAAGAACAGAATGACTCGGAAATTGATTCTGTCGCTCTCTGTATATCAAGATGAAGATGATGAGGTTCGTCGGATTTTCGCATAGAACGCCAGCATCTTGCATCAATGTTGATGGCAGTGTCGGTCTCCTTGATTTTGATACTGTGTACATAACCTTGGGTGTAATCATTCAAGCCTTTTTGCAGCACCTTTTCTGTCAAAGATCTACCATTTGGTATAGACAAGGGGGAAATATTGGCTGGAATGTCCAGCAGCGAGTCGGTTGCTGCATCAGCGGCCGCCATCTTGCGATATAGCTTGGGGGACGTCGTTACAGTATCGAAGGGGGCGGGGCTTATCGACAGATCTCGGAAAGGTCAATTGTCTGAATATGCACACCAAAATGTGCAGCAACCAGAAGTTGGCCCTGACCCTGCAAAAGCATTCCTATAGCCGGTCCCCGCTGGACTTCCGTCAATCGTGGCATGGATGTAAATTACTTAATTCGAATCAAACTTTGAAAAATCAATCCGAATACTTGAACAGTATCAAATAGACTGAAAATTCCATTGGCGAACTCAATTACCTTCCCCTGCACGGGATTCTTGTATTTTAGCACGTGCCTCGCACAGAGCGCGGAGGTCAGGTATTGTGTGATTTTAAACACGTGTACCTAGTGACGCGAACAACACATCAACCTGACCGAGTGTCATTATTCTAGGCCAAGCAATAAATCATTTGTAGTATATTTAGTGTACCCGGCTTTTCTTTTTCGTGTTAGTATATATGGGTGTTTAAGTTTTGTAAGTTCAGGGAGATCTCTAAACACATTATCAGGAGTTCGCCAGACCACGGTTAGTTTACCGTATGTTGATAGGATTGTTTTTTCTATAACAAATGGTGAAACGGATGACATTGGTTTATCCTTTTACAACGATTGTATGACGATGAACTGGTTGAAATCATGATCATCTTCTGATTCTGATGATGAAGGACAAGGTCTTTTATTTTTCAAAACAGTTTGTTGAGCATTTTTGTTACACCACTAAACACGTGTTGGCTAAATGCATGTATACATTTCTATGTTTGCACTCCCCTTGATTCGAAGTTCTGAAAAAATTACCACACCGCTTCGATTTTAAACACTTTTTCCCCCCTGTTACACAACACAGAAGTCGTTTTTTAAAGTTTGATCGTATAGTGTTTTAATTAATAATGTCCATTGTCGTTACATAGTCTCTCAGTAACCTTAGCCAACACGGCCCGCTATGGTACTATGACCCCTCGCTCTCCCACTCTCAGTCTTTACTTCTTGAGAGTTCCTTCTGGACTCTCCCTCAGACCCTAGTCTGATCATATTATATCCCCTAAAACATCGTGAGAACAGAGAGAAGAACAGATGCCTAATTGCTGTAATTGCTTCAATTACTGATCACTTTTGAAAGTTATATGGTATTTTAACCCCACTCGGACTCATGGAATTAGAATCTAATAAACAATTTGACCGTTGGTCTTGTTACGTTGTCACTGTTCTCCATTGTAATAGAGATTGAAAACCTATTTCCCTGATTAACTGTCAACCATCCGTCCCAGATATTGAGATTGATGATCACCTAGGTCCGTTACAAAACAATAGGAACCTAAATATGAGACAAATTAGAAACTATTCCTATTGATATAATGGGCCCTCTCTCAGTTCAACACATACAACATTAACCAATACACAAATAAAATATACATAATATAATCCCTACACCCAAAGATACCAATATACCAATATATTTCATTTATAAACTCTACTAATTATCTACTAATTAGGTGATTAATTAGTTGTATAAAAATTAAAACCATTTTGTCACACCCCTCTGTAGATGGCATGTCATCTAGGAGAACCTATCATTTTGTATTTGGTCAGACGAGATTAGTCTGTGATTGAAAGACACTGACAATTGCACCTTTCCTTCATCCTTCTCGAAATACATAGTTCCGACCTGTCAATCAAACCGATAATATCGACCAATCAAATAATTGCATGTACTTTGCCCCGATCAGCTGTTTACTCGTCTGCCATTAAGTCCCACAAGCAAACACAGATATGGTTTTACGATGTGCATGGGGAACCTGCACTGCCGATGAGAGATACCCACAGCGACTGAATGGTGCAAGGTTGATACTATTTCCAAAGCCGAAGACTAACCTGGAAAAATGTCTACGATGGATAAAAACATGTGGACGACCGCATGACCAGCTCAATGTCGACAGAATCAACAAACACAAAGCCGTGTGCTCTACGGTATGTTATCGTTTAATTTTGTACACGTTTTTCCTTACGAATATTAACTTAAAGTTACTTGAAACACAAGGCCCAGTTCAGTTTACATGTTCTGATAATACAAAACTCGGAAGCTCGAATAATTTTGAAGTATAACGCCCCTCCTTACTTCGTCTGTTCAATGTTGATGATTATGGTGAGCCCGGAGCCAAGCAGGCCTAGCTCACGTTCTAAAAAGACACGGACCTACTGTATGTGCTTGTCGTGGCATACATGCATCATCACGTTACATTATTTTTTTTTAATTCACGGATGGATACTATCAGCTGATTATCATTATAACAATATTTGAAGTAAACGTGGTTTAATCTGCATGGCTAGACAAAAATATGTGTAATTTTGTTTTGTTCCAAAATGCAACTTTCTTTAATTTCTATCACAATATTCTAAGCATGGCAGTTTGAATGATTTAAATATTAGTTGGTATTCAAATTGATGAGAAGTCATTTCATATCATCTCAGAATATCTGAACAGCACTACACATTTCTGTAAATCTTAAACATGAAGGTTATAACACATTACCTAGTAAATCTCAAATTATTCATTTTATTTGTACACAAACTTATGTGGTATTTTTTTTAATCAGGGATCATTAAATTATATACCCCAGCTATTGTAGGGTACAGGTGCCTTGACACAAAACAGAACTGCAATGAGCTGGCAGCCTGACACTTTAAAGATAATGTATCTTGCTATATTCAGACTGTCATGCTGACATTAAACCATAAAAAATTAATCAATTTAATTACAGCTGTATTTTTGTATTTTCCTCTCAGCATTTTGAAGGCGGTAATGGACCAACTGCTTTATTCCCTGATCCATTACCAGCTGATGGCTCAAAAAGCACCCTAGCAAGGCCGTCACCAAAAAGAAGATTGCTTACCTTTGACACAGAGTCATCAGATAATAAAAAGAGGAAGAAATTTCCACTAAATGAAAACACAGAGATGTGAGTAAAGCATATCTTTATTACTGGATAATACATGTTGGACACAAAAAAGTCATTTTTTAACAATTAAATATGTATACATATAAAAGGCAAGAGTGTTGTAAAATACAAGTTGAAAACATCTTCAGATGTTAGTTACAAGTCTTTAATACTGTTTACAGAAATACTTAACTACTGTCTTTTTTATATTATTCGCTGAACACATGTATATATTGGATTGTATTGTATGAGATCAGTGTCATAACAAAATCAATGACTATATATACCTTCAAGACAGCATAAGACAATTTCTTACTCCTTTTTTTTTACAGCACAAATTATGGTGCGTTTAGCCGCCCTAAACGCAGATTTTTGCTACTTAACTAGATTCTTTTTCCAGCAACCTTATACAAATTTTACACAATAATTTTGTTCATCTTTTGATATTATATAATCTAACAGAAAAGTAGCCCTAAACGTGGCATATTTCGCGTTCTAATCGCAGGTTAAAAATTAAGTAGCAGAAAAAATAATTAGGTGGGTAGAGACAATTTCTGATTAATTAGGTAGTTTCCGTCTAATTCCCTCTAACCCTCTGGGTTTCCTTTCTAATCCCCGACCATCGGAAAAAACATCTTTCTGGGGTTAAGGGTCCATGGTCTGGTTATACCCTTCTAGGTCATAGGAACAAGCAGAATTTGCCATAAATTTCAACCACCGTTGGCTACACCATCTTTTTTTTATTTTTTTGATTTAAGCCTTGAAATTTGGTACACACCTAGCACACACCACCATAAATTTTATGTTAAAAGCGCAGAATTTTCTTGCTTATACTTTTTGAGATATCGATTTTTTCTTTTTCTAGGGTCCCGAAAAATACGTCTTTCAGCTACTTAATGCTTAACATTTGATTCGTGTTTTTTACTATATTTAGAATAGAGATATTTGACTGTGCTTTGATATTTTGTAGAACTAACCAGTCGATTTGTATGAATATAAACTTAAGCATTCTTGGTTGCCTGAAAGGCATTCTGTAAGCGGTAACAGAAAAACGCTGATCAATAAGTTGCATTTCAACAATGACTACTTATATGCATTTGTCGACAACAAAATAGCAAGACATTTTGCATGTGATAAAAGCTGAATCATATAGACTTGCATGCAATGTTTTGTGCATGTACACATTTTTTCTGATTTTTAATAGACATTTGAAGTTCCTGGTTCCAAAATCTCTAACCCTAATCGCGGTGTTTAGCAAAATTATGCTACTTATTGGTATATTTTCACATATTATGAAATCATTCTTATAGCTGAAAAATTGAAAAACTGTAATTTCATTCCCATTTTCATTACTCACAACATATCAGAAACTTGACCAGGTGCAATTGTAACTTTACAAGAAAAACCCATTTATTTCTAACCCTTGAGACTTGCAAGTATGTAACGAATTCATAACGAATTGAATTCGTTACATAATTGCAATGCCTCAGGGCTAGGTTAAATGAATTTAAATTGGGTGAAAAAAAATATATCATTTTTAATTGTTTTATTTAATTTTATAATTCAGTTTTGAGTGAAATGGGTCTATTTCACTTTGTTGTAAACTTTATTTTATTTCATTTTCTTTACATACATGGACATGAAACATCACAAAAAATAACAATTGAAATTGGATTCGGAAACAAGTTATACAACTTATATAAATCCGTCTCCATTTCTGTAACAAGCATAGTGTTGACAAATGGGAAACAGATCACAAACAAAACAATAAATAAATGCATTTCTTATGAAAGAAAAGAAATAGGAAAAGAGGATAAGGAAAGAAGAGCTTAAAGAATAAGACTGGTAGGTTTACCATGCCATTAACAAGAATAGAAGGTATAAGTACATTAAATTCATCTCTGTGATAAGCTCAATTAACAACTGTGTATTGTGATAAGAAGAACATGGGGAAAAAAACTGTTACGATTAAAGACATAACATATACAAACAAATTATTTAAATCTCTTTGAACTAATAACAAAATTTTGAACACATGAAAAAACAAAAGAATTTTCGTCGTATGATAATTCACTATCACCGAAAAGCAAGACTTCAACAGTGATATGGTTGTCTAATTGACCGAGACAGCGTAAACGGAGGTCGGAGAAGAGGGGACACTTTAATAGAAAATGTTCATTTGTCTCTTCTCCTTCATTACAAGAACACATAGGACTGTTAACAAGATTTCGACGAAATAAATAGAAATTTAGTGAACTACATTCCATCCGCAATCTCGCATGGAGAATCTGACCCAGTCTGCTACCGTGAGAGAAATAACGTGGAACAACGAGACCTGGTAAATCCAGATGATTTTTTAATTTAGTAACTGAAGGATCATTTTTAATTATTTCTGGCAAAGAATTCCAGAGGTGAATGACAGACGGAAGGAAAGATCTCATAAAAAGATTTGTGCGACAGGAAGGAGTACGAAAGTTATTTCTGACACGAGTATTGTGATCATGAATAGTGTTGTTACGGCTGGGGAGAATTTCTTGCAGATATTGAGGAAGAAGGCCATGAACCATTTTATGAAAGTGGATAATTTTATGGTGCTTACGCCTTTGCTCGAGAGGAAGCCAACCCGTTTCAATATACAGTTTAACTCTACTAGTGAGGTTTGTTCCACCAGTAACAATACGAGCTGCCTCTAATTGGAGATCTTCTAACATATCAGATTGAGATTTTGAAATGTTGTCCCAGACAATATCACCATATTCAAAAATAGACCGGATAAGGGTGAAATAAAGAGTTTGAAGAGAGGTGCGGTCAAGAGTGAATCTAAATTTACGAAGGATATTTAATTTAGGAGAAACCTTGGATATTATGTAGTTAATGTGATCGGTCCAACCACCGTTGTTAGATAAAAAAAGACCGAGATGCTTATGTGAACTCACATCAGAAAGAAAGGTGTTATTCATAATTAAATTAGGATGTACTGGCATGTTAATTTTTTTGGATATTAGCAAAGTGTCAGTTTTAGAAGGGTTAAAATTTACCAACCATAATTCAGACCATCTATGAATTTTATCAAGGTCATTGTTTAAAACATCTGCACTAGCCAGAGGAGAATCAACAATCACATACAAAGAAGTGTCATCAGCGAATAATTTAATATTAGCTTGTATACCAATTACTATGTCATTTATAAATAAAAGGAACAAGAGAGGGCCTAATATCGAACCTTGTGGAACTCCAGCATTAATAGTTGACCAGTTAGAAAATTTCCCATTAATGACAACTCTTTGTTTACGATTTTGAAGATAATTAGTGAACCAATTTAGAAGTGAACCTTGAATTCCAAAGCTAGAAAGTTTAAGTAGGAGTCCCCTATGCCAAACACGATCGAACGCTTTACTGATGTCGCAAAAGACCATTCGTATTTCTTTACCAGTATCTAAGGCAGAGTAAATATCATGAGTGATAGAAAGAAGTTGATTAACAGGTGAATCACCTTGTCTAAATCCAGATTGGTGGGGAGAAAGTAAGGAGTTAGCATGCAGAAAATTGTAAACATATTTAAAAACACATCTTTCCATCAGTTTTCCTACAATTGATAATAGGGAGATAGGTCTATAATTAGTTAATGTGGACTTGTCACCTTTTTTGAAAACCGGAGTTACATTGGCAGACTTCCAATCGGAAGGAAACACACAAGAGGTAAGAGATTTGTTAAAAAGTAAACTTAAAGGGTTACATAAAATATCAACAGATTCCTTAAGCAGACGAGGGTTTATAAGATCGGGACCGATTGCTTTAGAACAGTCAAGCATTAGTATTGCATCTTTGACATCAGAAGCGCTTATTGTTATACTAGAAAGAGAATAGTTATAATTGTTGTCAATTGGTGGAAGGTTAGCGTTAGAATCATCAATAGTGGATTGAGCACAGAAGAAATCATTGAATAAAGACGCCTTTTCAGAATCATCAGAGATAACAGTATCATTGTGAGAGAGAGGTGGTATATAAGATTTCCTATTGTTTGGAAGTAATGAATACACAGTCTTCCACCATTTCTTAACACAGAGATTAGAAGGTTTATTCAGGGATTCACACAGATTTTGGATATATTTGTCTTTAGCCTGTTTAATTTTATTAATACATTTGTTACGGATTTGACGAAATTTGGACCAGTGAGCAATAGTAGGGCTACGTTTGGCATGTTTATGTACACGTTTGCGTTTCATAATTAACCTACGAATTTCATTTGACATCCACGGGGGTTCATGAGATCTAAAATTCACGGTTTTGTTTGGAATGCATAATCTTGCAATGTCAAGTAATTTATCTGCAAAATTGTGAACAGAAATATTTATATCATCAACATGGATTAATGAATTCCAGTTGACAGAATTAAGTTTTTCTCTAAATAGATCGTAATTACCTAAATCAAACAGCCAGACGTTGCGCTTGAAACATTGCTGCATGGGCCTGGAGATATTAAGCGAGGAGTAAGTTGGACAATGATACCTTAGGGGTTGGTCAAGAAAATTTTCACCAACGAAGCATTTGCTAATGAAATTTGGATTGTTTGTGCAAACTATATCAATAAGTGAGGAGGAAGCTTCAGTATAGAATGTTGGGGAATCGACTAACTGAGAAAGATCAAATAATAGAAGCAAAGAACGCAATTGGGAAGAGAGGTTATCGACAAGAAGATTCGCGTTAAAATCACCTGTTATAACAATATTAGACATACCAGTGTTAAAGGCATTTTCAATAGACTGAGAGATATGAGACCATAAAGGAACTGGAGAGTTGGGAGGCCTATAGAAAGTGCCATAGAGACATTTCTCTGTACCGAGAGCTAATTCCAGCCATACACATTCTATGGTTGGCAATTCTAGATCTCGCCTTCTTTTCGCAGAAATATAGTCTTTAACATAGACAGAAATACCACCACCAATACGATCAGGCCTACAGTAACAGAATGGGTCAGAGTAACCAGGCAAGTTCAGATCAGGTGAAATATCACTCTCACTTAGCCATGTCTCGGTGAAAGATAGAATGGAAATGGTATTAAGTTCAGAATAGAGTAGGTCGAGCTTATGCTTCAAACTTTGAACATTTAGATGAACAAAAGAATAATGGCTGTCTGAGCAAATCTGGTCACTGAAGTCAGACAACAATGATGTATCCGATGTACTCAAAGACGACGGACCTGGATTTAATTCAATATCACCAGATAATATTAGTTGATACCGGATGATAGCAATGAAATCGAAAGAAGACTAATAACTTCTATCAATCCATAAATAGAACCATAAGATGACTTATATATATGTTGACAATATTTGTGAAGAGACGAAATGGACTGGGTAACATATAATACAAAACAATGAATAAACCATAGTAGTAACACTAAAGATAAAATGTCATTGACGGTCAGAAAGATAACAAAATTGGATGACATTACACAGTTGTTAAAGGCACCGATTCGAGCACGGTATAACGATAGACTGACTGGTATTATGTTATGCCAAAACAAGCAAAGTACATATTGGGTAAACATGCAAGAATAGGTATCACAGCTTGAGCAAAAGATAATGGCATGGTAGAAAAAACAGAGAAGTTTGAGAAAAAGAGGAGGAGTTTAAGAAAGAGTAATAACATTATGATTGAAATCATAGTACTTGGAATGGGAGAATCAGGGGAAGACCATATATCCATATAACTGGAAAAAGAAATTATATTTTCATAATCACCTAAGTAAGCTAAATATATTTTTCGAAATAAGAATCATGAGCCGAAAGAAATCAGGATGTATGACATATTACATTAATCAAAATTAAGGAACATGTACAGTACATACAAGTAAAAACACAAAAACATGAAACATGAGGTGTTCTCAATTACTGAAGGAACACCTCATAATTATTTAAATTGTTAGATAAGGAATAATCCATAACCTCATAATTATCTAAATCATGAGATAAAGGACACCTAAATAATATCTTAATCGAGAGATAAAGAACATCTTTTAATATAAATCGTGAGATAAGGAGCACCTCATAGTTCTCAAAATCGTGAGATAAAAAACATCGTATAATTATATAAATTGTTAGTTAAAGAATTCCTCATTATTTGTAATGAAATCGAGAGATAAAGAACACCCCAAAATAATCTAAATCATGAGATAATGAAAACTTCATTATTATCTGAATTGTGAGATAAATAATACCTCATAAAAAAAGAACACCTCATGAATTGTCTAAATCGTGGAATAAAGAAAAACCTCATGATTATCTCAATTGTTAGATAAATAGTGCTTCATAATTATCTCTATAGAAATCGTGAAATAAACATCTCATGCATATGTAATTCATGAGATAAAGAACACCTAATATTTTTTGTATATAAGTGATGAGATAAGGAATACCTCATAATTTTCTAAATCATGAGATAATGGACACCTCATAATTATTTGTTATAAGTGATGATGTAAAGAATACATTATAATTATCTAAATTGTGAGATAAATAACCACATAATATTTGTATAGAAATCGTAAAAAAACACCTTATAATTGTCTAAGTCGTTAGATAAAGAATAACTCATAATTATAGAAATCATGAGATAATGAAACACCTCATTTGTATATAAATGTTGAGATAACGAATACCTTTTATAGAAATCATGAGATAATGGACATATAAATTTGTATATAAATGTTGAGATAACGAATACCTCATAATTATAAAATAATGAACACCTCATATTTATTTGTATATAAAAAACCTCATCATTATAGAAACCATATAATGAAACACCTCATTATATAAATGTTGAGATAAAGAATACCTCATAATTATAGAAATCGTGAGATAACGGACACATCATAATTATTTGTATATAAATGTTGAGATATAAAGATCATGAGATAATGGACACATCATAATTATTTGTATATAAATGTTGAGATAACGAATACCTCATAATTATAGAAATAATGAGATAATGAACACCTCATATTTATTTGTATATAAATGTTGAGATAACGAATACCTCATCATTATAGAAACCATGAGATAATGAAACACCTCATAATTATTTGTATATAAATGTTGAGATAACGAATACCTCATCATTATAGAAATCATGAGATAATGAACACCTCATAATTATTTGTATATAAATGTTGAGATATTGAATGCCTCATCATTATAGAAATCATGAGATAATGAACACCTCATAATTTTTTGTATATATATGTTGAGATAACGAATACGATAATTAACACTTCAAAATTGTCCAACTCATGAGATAAAGAATAATTCCAACTTATTTGATATAAATCTTGAGATAAGAAATACCTCATAAGTGGTCTAAGTCGTGAGATATAGAGTACATATGTATTTCATTATTATTTGTGTAAACTGAAATTCATAATCATTCATACATAAATCGTGATATCAAAACTACAAGATAAATCTCGACATATTACTGTCTCATAATGAAATTATATATAAATCGATACTCATTGTGATTTTTTTTCTCACACCTCAATGTTTTGAGTACAGCCGAGGGACTAAACACAAGTAGTAAAACAACTAGTTTACTTTATAAATATTCAGATTCAAAATATTGATCAGCAAGCTTATATCTGCTATGAAGAATTCAATCGTATTAGACGCCGGGTTAGGACAAAACAAAA